AAGTGAAATCGATTATTGACAATTTTTATGACTATGGAAAATGTCAAATAGATCATTACAATGTAAACAAACCTCATATACATAATATACAACGTTCTTAATAATAATCTATAATGGTTAAGAGAAGCGTTAATGTAGAAGCGTCATTATAAAACTTTAATTTGTTATATCTTCTAAATTAATACCGTCCCCACTTATTTTTTGCGGAAAATTACTCAGGACAACCTTCTCTATAACATATCCAAGCGAGAAAATCGGTGCTGTGTAACTTTTTTATGAACCAAAGAGACACCTTATACAGTCAAAAATTTCAAATTAAATTCTACGTTTTTCCGAATTATGGAGGGTTTTATTTTGAAATAAAAGGGATCAAATCTTTATGGAGTTTCCGAATTATAAAAATTCGTTTACAAGGTTCTATTGTAATATAAAAAAAATCAAAAACATAATAATTAGGTGCTAATTAGAAAATCGAAGAAATTATTAAAATATATTTAAAATAAATTAAATTTTTCTAAAAATATTGTCATAAACTCAATTATTTAAACAACATAATTTAGTATCGAGCACTAAGAGCCCATAAACGCGGATGGCAATGCGTAAATTTTTACGAACATTAATTGTTCGCGAAAAAATTTTTAAGACATATGCACATATACCAGGTTATAGATTCTCTTGGTTTGAGACTTCTATAACAACCCCTTTTACCCCCCTGGAGAGATGTAGACAGGAAAAATATCGGGGCGAAGTCGCTGAATCGGGAATCGAACCCGAGTCTTTCGCTTGCCGATTACTCGGGTTCGATTCCCGATTCAGCGACTTCGCCCCGATATTTTTCCTGTCTACATCTCTCCAGGGGGGTAAAAGGGGTTGTTATAGAAGTCTCAAACCAAGAGAATCTATAACCTGGCATATGTGCATATGTCTTAAAAATTTTTTCGCGAACAATTAATGTTCGTAAAAATTTACGCATTGCCATCCGCGTTTATGGGCTCCTAGTGCTCGATACTAAATTATTATGTTGTTTAAAATACATAGAGCCGAATTATATACTCAATTATTTAGTTTACGTATGCAATATTTTTCAAAATTTATTTTAAATGCTTTAACAATGTTTTCCTTAGAGCGGTAAATTAATACTTAATTATTATACGTCTCTGCGGTAAAGGTTGATATTAGGGGACTTACCTTCGATGAACTTCAACTTGACATATGTTATCAAGGTCACTGTCCTGAGTAACATGCAAAAGATTTTAGCCGTCGCTCGTTGTTAATTAAAGAGTCATAAACAAAACAAATTTTATGAATTTCACATCATTTTCGGACACCGTGTACAATAACAGACCTCTATATATTATCAAGATCACTATTTTAAGTAACATAAAAGATCACCATTTTAAGTAACATAAAAGATTTGTATCCCATTAACAATAATAATGCTGAATAAATACATAATTGTCAATAATATATCTTTATTAGCAAGTACATTGATTATAATAGAAATGCACAATAACTTAGTTGTTATATAAAAAATAATTATTTTAAATACATTTAATACAATTAAAAAATATCACAAATGTATGTGTACACACACACGCGCGCGCGCGGAAGACGATTACGAAGAGTTCAATCACAATCGATATATGCTGTAAGTTATAAAGCGAGGTTCACCTTGCCTATCGGCGAGATGATTGCGGGAAGGGGCCCCTCTCGCACCCCCCGCGCGCGCGCGCGCGTATGTGTTTGTGTACACATACATTTGATATTTTTTAATTGTATTAAATTGTATTAAATTCTATATAAATTTAAATTATTTACCTTTTTTTATTTTCCTTTGATTTACCTTTTTTTTTGCATTTTTCTTTACATTTATTCACATTTATAACTTTCAACGCAACAAGAGGTCTGTTACTTGTACACGCACCGGCAGGAATGGTGTCCCACTATGCTGACGCTCACTGACGTTACACTCACACAAGCGAAGTGCGCATGTACGCGAGCCAGGCAGCGGGAGAGAAAGTGGGGGGTAGAGTAGTGGGGGGCATTCCGATGTTCCGTCCTTTGCGCACGGCACAAGAGCGAGAGAGAAAGCATTATAAGACATGCCCAGTAAGCAAGAAACATTTGATCAACATTCTAAAATGTTGATTTTATATAAATTTTCTAAACATTATGATATAATGTTTTATAAATATTTTAAAAATATTTTAATAAATGTATTAATAACATTTAAAAAAATATTTTAATTTATGTTTTATAAATATTTTAAAAATATTATTTAATAACATCCTTCTCAAAATATTAATAAAATACGAGTATTTTAGAAACATTAGTCAAAATGTTTCTTAAATGTTATTAATACGTTTATTAGAATATTTTAAAAATATTTTTAAAATATTCTAATAAACATATTAATAACATTTAAAAAATATTTTAATTTATAACACATACATAACGGGCCTAATTCCTTTTGACTTTAGTTTAATTCACGCGTGGCTGAAAAGATCGCTTTTCATTTTCCATAGTTATAAACAAATAGGCGAGAGTGATATCGGTGTGGGGTTGAATAGCTCAGTGGTAAGAGCAGTCGCCCGACAAGCGAAAGACTCGGGTTCGATTCCCGATTCAGCGACTTCGCCCCGATATTTTTCTCGTCTACGTCTCTTCAGGGGGGTAAAGAGGGTTTTATAGAATTTCTCAAAAATGAGAATCTATATATCTTGGTAAATGCACCAAGTAAAATATATGCATATGCCTTGTTCTCGTTTACATTTTCGCGTACAATTAAAGTATTTTTAGACATTACCATCCGCTATGGCTCGGATACGCCAGTTTTCTTATCTTGTTGTTTGATACATAACGGGCTTTCCTTTCGACTTTATTTTAATTTATGTTTTATAAATATTTTAAAAATGTTATTTAATAACATCCCTCTTAAAATATTAATAAAATATTTTAGAAACATTAGTCAAAATGTTTTTATGTTATTAATATGTTTATTATAAATAAAAATATAACATCCAGTTACAAGTTCGTTCGCGTTGTTATTAAACGTCGTATTATTTATTTCGTACATATCTTTAAACTATTTTTTTTTCATAATATATCTTAATTTCTTTCTCGTGACGGGCATGACGACACCTAATACGTTACTGAGAAGCAACATTCGGTGAGATATGCGTATACACTCTATTGCGTATGCGTGATTTATTTTTTTGTTCTTTGACTTCGGAATACTCGTGCCGGCTACCAGCGTGCCACATGCTCTTACACGATCTCACATATTAAGTAAGTTACAGTGTTTTTGCGAGTTATAGTGCTGCACGAAAGAAGAGAAAAATGTTTCTTCCAGTGTGTTATAATATCTTGTAAGTTATTTTTAGAGATATGTCTAAATATTCGTTCTCAGATTTTTCAGTGAAAGTTCTAAAAGTCTTAAATTAATGTTAGAATTAATATTATTGTGATATTAATATTAAGTTATGTAGATGTTGATATTAATGTTATTTTATTATTGATTTAATTTTATGAGAAACATTATCAGAATGTTAAAACAACATTAATACAATATTACTTGTAACGACATAGAAAATGTTATTTCAACATTACCGAAACTTCTAAATCGGTGTCAAAGTTTGTTCATAATGATGTTGCATACAATGTTAAAAACTACATACTTGACAATATTACTATGTTAGTGAATATCATTATAATAACGTTGTGGTGATTTTTTGCTTACTGGGTGATACCGAGTTAGAGGTGTCCGTCTCTCTCGTTCGGCGCTCGAACGAGAGAGTGCGAGCGAGACAACTATATACCGCGCGGGATACCGCGCTGTTTCTATACGCGTCTCGCGCGTTTTAATATCGATATTAATATATTTTTTATTTCTTTCTTTAACGGAGTTACAATGCGGTTAAACCGCGTGCATCGGCGTATTCATTCTATTAAATTAAATAATAATTATAATTTTAACTTTATACAATATAATTATTATTTAATTTAATAGAATGAATATGCCGGTGCACGCGGTTCAACCGCATTTTAACTCCGTTAAAGAAAGAAAAAATATATCGATATCGATATTAAAGCGCGCGAGACGCGTATAGAGACAGCGCGGTATCCCGCGCGGTATATAGCTGTCTCGCTCGAACTCTCTCGTTCGGACACCTCTAACTCGATATCATGTTTTATTGTGCTTTCTCTCCCGCTGCCCGGCTCGCGTACATGCGCGCTTCGCTTTTGTGAATGTGACGTCAGTACAAGCATAGCGGGACACCACTCCTGCCGGTGCGTGTACACGGTGTCCGAAAATTATGTGAAATTCATAAAACTTCTTTTGTTTATAATTTTTTAATAAACAACAAGCGACTGCTAAAATCTTTTGTATATTACTTAGGGCAGTGACTTGATAACATATGTCAAGATGTAGCTCATCAGAGATGAGTCCCCTAATGTCAACCTTTACCACCTCTGCTTTTTTCATATACTTCTTTATTGAGAGATCATTACTCTCTTAAAAACTTAATATGTTAAATTCTTTACTCTTTTCTCAATATAAATTTGATTTTTTCTCAAACGATGTGCAAAATATAATTTTAGACTTCAGCATTTAATTATCACATAATTAACATATAATTTTAAGTTAGAATTTATTTAGCGCTGGTGAGGCTAATTTAATACAGATTATTTTTCTATATGTCATTCGTTTCTTCATGATATTCAATTCAAAAGAAAATACATTAAAATAGCTTTGAAAGTTTCAACTCATAAACATAAGAAAACGCACATATAAAAAGTATGTTTTCCTTATTTTTAACTGTTTATAATATATCCAAAGTCCATTCAAATTAATGAGGAAAAAAGTGAATAATCATGAATATAATATTATCTCTTTCGTATAAGCAAATATTGATTCCAAATTAATTAAAAGAAAATCTATCATTAGTTAAAAAAGTCTATCATTAAGAAAAAATTTAATATGATTTTTTGATATATAGATGACAATAGGCTCGACAGTGCCAATTTCTTCATCATTTCCTCATCAATCTTCTTCGTCAGTGGCAAATAATGGAGGGACGAAACTTTTTCCATCTCCACGGATGAATGCTGGAATGGTGATGAAACACAATATTTTATATTTATATGGCGGCTTGATGGAAGAAGGTGATCGACAATATACTCTTTGCGATTTCTATAGCCTAGGTATGTTATTAAAGTTGAAAGATATATTATACAGGGTCTACCAAAAGTGTGGAAACCCCTAAATATCTCGGAAAATATACGTTTTACAGAAAAGTGTTTCCAACAAAAGTTGTAGGGTTTAAGAAGATCTATATACTGATTCTATCAGTTTGACCTTGGATGGCGTCGTCAAGGTCAGGTCAAGGTCACATTGACTTTTTTAAATGACACCCCCTACATTTGATTGCATATTCTTATAGCTTAATTCAAGAGCTTTCCAAAACACTATAATAATGTTCATTTTTATTAAGTACTTTGCGAGTTATGAGGGTTGAATGATAGAGTAGCGCCGGTATTAACATTATCCAAGGTGTACTACATGGAGGTTACTCGCTCGGATTTGCATCTGTTGTGTGTGTGATCCAGCTAACTAAGGCAAGATCGGTCGTGGATCCAGTCAGCAAAAGCAAAGACCCAACCAAATTACAATCGAGCATTTAAAGACCTGGAAAGCAATCGACATAGTAAACAGTAAATAAATTTGTGGATGCTCATTTATCATAATAATTGTTCGAAATGTGTGCGTGTGCGTGCGTGCGGTGCGTGTATACAGAGATCAGGTTAGGTTGCACCAAACGATTGCAAATGTGTTTCAATGTGTTAAAGTAAATGCTGAAAGTGGCTGCCATTTACTTCCTGACAATATGCTAATCTTTGGTAGAATGTAGAAATGACTTTACGATTCGTTTCAAAAGGTATCAAAGCCATTTCATCCCTTATTCGCTGTATCAATTCGTGAATGGTTTTAGGTTTTGTTCTGTAAACCTTACTCTTCAGATATCCCCATAGATAATAATCAAGAGGAGTTAGATCTGGTGACCGAGGTGGCCAATCCTCTCCTCCCTCATTTCCGTTCCTTCTTCCTATCCACCGTAGCGGAAAAGTCTCATTTAAAATACGACGTGGTCCTGCACCAAAATGAGCAGGAGCTCCATCATGCTGAAACCATATTTCTTGGAAATTATTTGGAAAAGTATTCTGTATGGCTGGAATTATTTGATCAACAAGTAATCTCTCATACCTTTGAGCGTTCAAATATTCTTCAAAAAAAAACGGCCCTATTAAATAGCCATCTATTATTCCGCACCATACATTTATTTTTTGTGGATGTTGTGTGTGAGTTTCCCGCACCCAATTCGGATTCTCATCTGACCAGAAACGAAAATTTTGATTATTAACTTCTCCCGTTAAGGTAAAAGTTGCCTCGTCTGTGAAAACAATTTGATAAGGGAAGATGGGCCGGACATCTATTAGTGCCATCATTCTTTCACAGAAATGTATACGACGCTCCTCATCTCCGTTTTGCAATTCTTGAACGTATTGCAATTTATATGGATGGAACTTGTTCTTCTTTAAAATTCTCCAAACCGACATGGGAGCAATATCGTGAGTTTGAGCGACTCTCTGAACACTAGAATTGGGATCTTCAATAAATGTCTGCAGAACATCAAGTTGTTTTTCTTCGTTGGTTGCAGACAATGGTCTTCCTGACTTAGAGCGATTTCTTACGCTACCAGTTTGTCTAAAACGTTCTATTGTTTTTAACACAGTGGACTTATTAATTCGACGGTTCGGATACGTGTCATTAAATAATCGAACGACATCAGAGAACGATCTTTCGTTATCACCCCATCCACGCATCATGAGGATAGTGATTCTTTCACGTTCCGACAAGTCGCCAGCCATTTTTAAAACGTTTAATTTTAATTAATCGTACGTTGTATTTGGACGATAACAATTAATTTCTGCTTGCTCAAAGCTGAAGTTAGAAGGTGCTCGTTCTTTGATAGCTTTATACATTCTTAGTTGAATTTTAAATGCGAGTTAGACTGCATGTAGTGCGTCACATAGCGGTAAATGAAGGAACTAACGAGACGTTTCATACACGTTTTATGGAGCAATTTTTTGGCAATTTGACTTCAGCGAAATATGAGGATATGTTGAGGAATCGATCTTGCCTTAGTTAGCTGGATCACACACACAACAGATGCAAATCCGAGCGAGTAACCTCCATGTAGTACACCTTGGATAATGTTAATACCGGCGCTAATCTATCATTCAACCCTCATAACTCGCAAAGTACTTAATAAAAATGAACATTATTATAGTGTTTTGGGAAAGCTCTTGAATTAAGCTATAAGAATATGCAATCAAATGTAGGGGGTGTCATTTAAAAAAGTCAATGTGACCTTGACCTGACCTTGACGACGCCATCCAAGGTCAAACTGATAGAATCAGTATATAGATCTTCCTAAACCCTACAACTTTGTTGGAAACACTTTTCTGTAAAACGTATATTTTCCGAGATATTTAGGGGTTTCCACACTTTTGGTAGACCCTGTATATGTATTTGTATTATATTTATCATACACGCGTGCGCGTACACACACACACACACACACACACACACACACACACACACACACACACACACACACACACACACACACACACACACACACACACACACTCACTCACTCACCACCACACTCACACCCACACCCACCCACACGCACGCGCGCGCGCGCGCGTGCACACATTTTCAACCAAAAGGTAACCATATTAGAAAACACATAGTTATTTAAAAAAAATTTGTAACTGATAATAGCAAATTACATATTTTTTCTTAAAAATAATTATGTGTTTTTTTTACCAATTGATTCTTTTCATTATTTTGTACATAAAAGTTCAGGTAATATTATCAAAAAATGAATATTTTACGAGATATTTTATAGTTTATAAAATTATTTCAAGCTTCATAATTTGAAAAGTGCTTAACAAGAAAAAATACTTTAATATAGTGTTTTAGAAAACTTTCGAGTCAAGTACATTAAGAATATGCAATGAAAAGTAGGAAGTTCCATTAAAAAAAAATTAAACTTCATATGACCTTGACGATTAAATTATATTTGTTTTAAATCAGAAATAGGTTTGGGTTAGGTTATTTTCCGGAAGTGCTATCCCCCTGTAGGGAAGAGGGAATCCACTGTATCCATGCATATACTTTGCAAGAGAAAAGAAAGTTTATTCTGCATCTTACTTCTTGCTGAGAGCGTAGTTTATGTATATTTCCCCAAAATAAATTCAATGTTTCGCATGGGTTTTCAACTTTTTACATAAAACGACGTTTACTCCATATTGCGCGTTTTCAGCGCAAAACTATACAATCCATTATTGTATAATTTCATATATAGGATGTTCATTTTAAAACTTTCCACCCGTTTATTTCCCGTTATGATTACTATTTAACTATTTTTATGTAACTATTTTTTGCAAAAAATGCCAAAGGACGAAAATTTTGTTTCCGAGGGAGACATTTAAGTATATTAAATGTAACGAAATTTTTTCATTCTCTTCGTCAGGATAGTCCTTCAAAAATTTTAAATGGCAATAGGGATCAAATGGTATATCATTTTGAAAGTATTTTGATTCTCTATACAATTGTCTTTCTTTTTTTTATTTAAGTGAATATTTTTTGAGAAATCGCACTTGGGAGTTTTAGATGTTAAAAATGTTTATTACATACAAAGATACAATTTGGAGTAGAATTTATTTAATCATTTATTATAACAAATGATCAAAATCTCCATATTATTGCTTTTTAAGCAATAATATAAATTCTCAAATTCTGAACGAATATTTTGAAAAGTTTTTTCAGGAATAGTTCTGCATTTTTGTACAATTCTTTGATGCAAATCGTTTATATTTTTCACTGGTATTTAATAAAAATCACAGAAAAAGTCTTTGTCAAAATTCAATTGATTCAGGTATTCAAAGGTTGTATCGTTGACTTGTTGGCAATGTTGAATACGGCGTTCAAAATGTTTAACAGTACGTAGTACATCAAATGGAATGTTGTTACACGCAGCTTTGATCCTCTTTTTCATGTCATCTTACATTGTTTTATTCCTATTTTATAATAAAACATATGAGGAATCCTTCTCATTTCATTGGAATAGAACCTGTTTCAAAATATATCGTTAAGAATATCAAGAAAATTTGTGTTCTTGCTGAGGAAGATTAGCTCTACAATAATTAACCAATAATGGACTACAATAATTTGTGCTATATTTCATCAATATCAGCTATATTTTATTCTTAAATTTAAATAATTCGTTAAATGTTTCTTCTTCTTCTTAATAGGATTATATCTTGTTCTCAACTCCCGGCTTCTTAGTCCATCGGGACTGCTCTTATGAAAGTCTAACTGTCTTTTTCATTGTTTCATAAGTGATCCCGGTGATCTTCGTGTTTAGGGTGCCTGCGTTTTTTTGCCCATTTTACGATTCTTCATCGTCTATTCTATCCACATGGTCCTTCCATTTTCATCTTCTCTCCCTGTTTCATCTTACAATGTTTTGAATTTCGACTTGCCTTTTTGGATTAATCTGGTGTTTGTCTTAAATACTAATAGCCCAGTATCGATCGTAATGTCTTTACTTCCATAATTCCCTAACATAGATTTTGTCTTTGCTGTCTCTGTTCTTGTTTCGGCTGCATATGTTGCGTATGTTGCATATGTGCTATTTCCGCTAGGTTATACACATGTAGATACGGATTTTGTTTTCTATCTTCATGTATTGTTCCTCCATATTATGCGAAGGTATTCCGATACAGCTGCTACTTTATGTATTTGCTTTTGTGTCTCTCTGCATTTTGCCACTGTTTATGAAACTCTCAGGTGGCACCAGGTGGCTTTTTTGGATGCTGTAAGATATGAACACACTCGATTTTAGCATAGTTTGGGCATATAACTTAGATGGATAATAAATAAAAAAAATATACGTATTAAATTAAAAATAACGATATCTAAAATAAAATAAGTAATAAATATTTTAAAAATTATTATATTTNACGCACGCCGCACAGCACGCACGCACGCACGCACGCACGCACGCACGCACGCACGCACGCACGCACGCACGCACGCACGCACGCACGCACGCACGCACGCACGCACGCACGCACGCACGCACGCACGCACGCACGCACGCACCGCACGCACGCACGCACGGCACG